AAAAAAAAAAAAAAAAAAAAAAAAAAAAAAAAAAAGCTTATGGAGAGTTCTAAAGATTTTTTAAAAAATCAAAGTAGTCTGTTCTTTTTATGGCCCTCACTTCAGTCAATAATCAACTTAAATGGATCAACGTATTTGCGCAATCCAAAGTGCTGGGCATTAGGAATAGATAAGCAGGGCTTAGAGTATAATGGGGGAGGCAGTGTTCATGACTTTCATTCATTCATTCATTCATTCATTCATTTGTGTTGTTATTGAGTGGATGTGTTTTGAACAGTCCTCGGCACCAGGCTGGATAGACAAGGCAGCATATGGGGAATGCCCGATAGGGGTAGAAATTGTAGAAGTCTTGGAGTGTGGAGGAGGGAGATAGCAAGGGGACTGGGTGGTCAGGAAGGGCTTTCTGGAAAAGGAGAGACTTGGCCAGGCTTTGCGGGATGAGCAGTATTTAGATGATGAGAGAGAGAGGAAAGGGAATCTGACCTAGAGTGGGTGTTCATGTGAGCCGAGCTAATCTAGAGGCAGAGAGATGCCATGTGTTCTGAAGAATATTAACGGAGACATTGGGCTTGTCAGTAAGCAGGTACTTGTTAAGCGCCTACCATGTATGATCACCAGGTCTGTGGTCAGCTCCAGCATCTGCACATCACTCTCTCCAGGCTCAGAGGTAAGAGGGTCCCTCCTTCTGGAAAGGACTAACCCTGCCTCCTGGACACTGGAGCTGACTGCCTCCACCTTCCCAGGGGCCTTGCTCCTTCCTTCCTTCCCTCCTGTTCTCCACCTCCACCAGCCCAATTCTCCCCGCACCCTCTGCCCCCGCCAGCTCCCAACTCTGAGGCACGTCTGATTTTCTTGGCCCCTCTCCCTTCTGAGAGCCAAAATGAGCATGGCATGACAGAGCCCTGGGTCTCCTGTCTTCTCTGTCTCCTGTTCCATTCTCTCCTTCCCTACCACTGCCAGACCCTGCAATATGAAACTCCATCACGCAATCGAAGTGGTATCAGAAGGTGTGAGTATGGACGGGATTCCCTAGGAAGAGGGCACGGAATGAGAAGATAAAGGGGATGGGGCTGATTATGGTGAACAGCTACATAATGGGCAGGGAATTTGCAAAGAGACAGAGAAGGAGTGGCTAGACAGGGAGGAGGCGGCCCATGGAGCATCACCGCATAGAAACCAAGGTGAGAGAGGGATGGATGATGAAGGAAGTTGTCAGCAGTCTTGAATGCTGCTGAGACTTCAAACAAGATGATTACGGAAAAATGCTGGGTTAGCTCATAGTGGTCAGTGGCTGCTAAAATAAGAATATTTGGTTGGAGCAGTGGGGCAGGAACCCAGATTAGAGTAAGCTGATTTCTAAAATTCCTTCTAGGTTTAATGCTCTATAATTACATCATGTGGATTCATGTTAATGTTTAGATAGGGAAAAAATATGTCATACACACACAAACACATTCATGCACACACACATATACACACACAAATATATGTATTTATGTATCCCTACATTTAGAAGCACTTTAATACAAATCCAGGGTGCCTTCTTTGAACTAAATGTATTTTCTGAGGTCACTACAATTTTCCCAGATGCTTGATTACGCACCAGACCATATGGTTTTTTCATGTTTCTGACATAAAAGGTTTAATTTATTTTCCTTAGGATCATGTGTATGAGAATTGTTTTATTCCATGGAGCAGGAAGCCCATAAAACCCTTTTGTTGCCCCGTGGCATTTCTGGCTAGCAGCTTGATCACTTTTTCCTCCAGGTTTAACCTGTGATCTGTGAATTATGTTGTGCTGAATGACCACCTCTCAATGCTGATAGTTGAGCCCTCTTCAAAGCACCCATAAAGCATCAGACAGACATTTTCCTCAGAACTGTCCAATGGGCAGGTTTGGGGTTTTGGCTCAAAAAACTTTGGCTGGATCTGCTGATGACCAGGAAAAGAATCCTGCTACATCCTTTACCACAATCTGAAAAGTCATTTAAGTTTCTAGTAGATTCTCCCTCCTCTTCCCCCTCCCCTCCCACCCTACTCTCCTAGCGACTCTCCAACCACCTCCAACCTCCAGCCTGTGAATGGCTTTGTTTCCATCAACAGGCATTAGTGAGAAAATCAGAAGGCTTCTGAACCTACATCTTAGTTGAGGCTACTTGGGAGTGGGGGTCAGAGGGACTTGCATGGCCTTAGGTCACGTGAGTGTAATTGCAGCTGGGAGTATGTGATCAGCAAAGTGGCCACTAGCCTCCAGCTGGCCCCCACCCCTCGGTCACACCGAGTTCTCACTGGCACTTCAGCACTGGTTAAAGAAGAAAGCTTCATGGGATTGTCTACCAAGGTCTGAGAGCAGAAGAAAAATATACCGTCTCTTGGTTAATTACTTTATCCTGTTTCTGGCTTGCAAGACGGTCAGGCCACAGTGCTCAGACCTCCTCCAAGATCTCAGCAGGTGCTTACTGTACCGTTGCTGCCCATTGCTTCCAAGGGGCCTCATTCTGCGCCTTGCCAAGGCTCTCACTGCTAGCTGGCCATTCCGCTATTTCTCAGCCACTGGAAGAATGAGTCTCTCTTTTTGTGCCTCAGTTTCCTCATCTGTAAAATGAGGTGGTTTAACTAGGTAGTGATTCTCACCTCTGGCTCTGCACCAGAATCATCTGCAGTCCTATTTACAGACACTGGATCCCAATCACCGCCACCCCTACCCCACTCCCATACACATGCCTACCAAGTCAGAAACTCTGTGGGTGGTGCCTAGGAATGAGCATTTTCAAAACTCTCCCTATATTTTGATATCATCAATCTAAGCACCCTGATTTGGGAACAACTATATTAGATGACCTCTAAGATCGTTTTTTTAAATTAAAATTAAAATTTTATTTTTACTTTTGGCCATAAAACAAGTCTTAATATATTTAAAAAGACTAAGATCATAGAAAATAATAATAGAAAATATGTTCTCTGGCCACAATAACGGGAAGTGTAGAAGATTCACAAATGTGTGGAAATTAAACCACACTCTCCTAAATAATGGATAAAAAGAAAAATCACCGGAAAGTTTGACAGTACTTTAAGATTAAAAATCAAAGCACAACATATCAAAATTTGTAGAATGCAGGACTCATGCAGTGCTTAGAGGAAAATTTATACCTGTAAACACCTGTGTTAAAGTTAAGAAAAATCTCAAATCAGTAATGTAAACTTCTACTTTAAGAAAATAGAAAAAGAGCAAACTAAACAAAAGCAAATATAAGTAGGAAATAACAAGATTACAACAGAAATATATGAAATAGGGAATTTAAAAATAATAGAGAAAAACAACAAAACCAAAAGTTGATTCTTTGAAAAGATCAACAAAGTTTGCAAACCCTTATCTAGACTGACCAAGAGAAAAAAGGACAAGACTGAAATTACCAAAATCAGAAATAAAGCAGGGCATTATTACATTGTCATCATGGTTTTTTTTATGGTGATAAGATTCATTTTCTTTCTCTTTCTCAGTTGTATTTCTGTTCTACCAGTGGGCCCTGTTCATTCTTGTGTATTTGTGGTAGTGATCTTGCCCTTCAGATTCCAGACACAAAACTTCCTTGAGGATCTCCTTCTGTCAATGCACTGGATTTCATGTGGTGGTAAACTCCTACAGTTTTGTTTATCTGGAAAATACACTATTTTTCCCTCATTTCTGAAATAGCCTTGCTGGGTATACTATTCTTGGCTGGCAGTTTTTTTCTTTTAGTATTTTGAATATATTTTCCCATCTTCTTCTGGCCTGTGAAGTTTCTGTTGAGAAGTCTGCTGTTAGTCTGATAGGGGCTCCCTTGTAGGTGACTTGAAATTTCTCTTGATTCTTTTAAGATTTTCTCATTGTCTTTGAGCTTTGCCAATTTGACTATAATGTGTCTTGAAGAGGATCTTTTTGGGTTAAATTTGTTTGGGGATCTTTGAGTCTCCTAGATCTGAAGGTCTGTGTCTCTTCCTATACCTCAGAAGTCCATTATTATTTTGTTTAATAGGTTTTCCATGCCTTTTTCTTTCTCCTCCCCTTCTGGAACACCCATGATTCGAATGTTTGTGTCCTTAAGGTTGTCTGCTAGCTTTCTTAGATTTTCTTCATTTTTTAAAACTTGTTTTTTTTTTTTTTTTTTTCTTTTCTGTCTGCCTGGGTTATTTCAAAAAGACTATCTTCAAGATCAGAAATTCTTTCTTCTGCTTGTTCTAGCCTGCTGCTTAAGCTCTCTGTTGTGTTTTTTTATTTTATTGAGTGATTCTTTCAGTCCATGAGTTCTGCTACATTCTTTTTTAAGGTATTAATCTCCTTGTGAATTTCCTCCTTTATATCCTGGATTTTTTTTTTCTTGTTTCATTATGTTGTCTGAGTCTTCTCATATTTCAGTAAGTTTCCTTAAGATTGTTGCTTGGAATTCCTTTTCAGTCATTTCAAGGATTTCTTGCTCCATAGGGTCTAGTATTTGAGAATCACTGCATCCTTTTGGTGGTGTCATATTTTCTTGGGTTTTCATATTTCTAGTATCTCTACAATGATGTCTGGTCATCTGGCAGAGCAGTTGCTTCTTCTACCACTCTGGAGTGGGCTTTGAAGAAAGAGACATCCTCTTCTTTTTCTGGTCTCTGCTGGTGACTCTCCTTCTGTCAATGCAGTTAAATGCCTAGGGGGCTGCCTGCATGGTGGCTGTGGCTACTGCAATGGCATCAAGCTGTGGCTGTGGTGGTGGCTGTGTTTTCTGCATGCTCTCTTGCCTGTTTCTGGGTGGAAGGGGTGGCTTCCCTTGGCTCCTGCCTAAGACCCTGGGTGTTGCTTTCTTGCCTGCTTCCAGGCAGAGGGACTCTAAGACAATTATTTTCTACAGAGATGCTGCTGCTACTGCTGCTGTATTTTTAATGACTGCAGTTTAAAAGTGGACAGTGGAAGGGATAAGAATAATATGTCTTATTTGTAAGCCAGATATCCATGAGTCATTTCTTTTGGGGAAATTTGGATGAGAGAAATGTTTGAAACTATATCTGGATTTGAACATAAGTTAGAAAATTAGGATAAGAAAGGGAGGAGGAATTGTGGGATGGTGTATTTTCTTCTTCTTTCTTCTTCTTCTTCTTCTTCTTCTTCTTCTTCTTCTTCTTCTTCTTCTTCTTCTTCTTCTTCTTTCTTCTTCTTCTTCTTCTTCTTCTTCTTCTTCTTCTTCTTCTTCTTCTTCTTCTTCTTCTTCTTCTTCTTCTTCTTCTTCTTCTTCTTCTTCTTCTTCTTCTTCTTCTTCTTCTTCTTCTTCTTCTTCTTTCTTCTTTTCTTCTTCTTCTTCTTCTTTTTTTTCTCCAGGAGAGTCTGAACAACTATATGATTGGAAAAGGTTATTTATCCAAATGATATAAATTATTTATAGATCTGAGTAAACTTGAGCAATTTACTTAACTTATATGAGACAGTTTTCTCATCAGTAAAATGAAGATAGAAATATCTATAAGAATTTAGGAAGTTAATGTACTTAAGGCATGTAACATAGTGGCTGGCACATAACAGACATCTCAAACATTTAAGTTGCTTGAATTTATCCAAGTAAAATTACTATCAAACTCAGTTAGCTTGACGGACAGTAGGTCTTCCTGATACTAAATAAAGTCATAACTTTAGGACAGTTTTAAAAAATTCAGAGTTGAAATATCCCAGTGATCCCCTAGTTACAGATTTCTCTCTACACGTCCCAGGCATATGGGCTCACAGCCTCTGCTTGCACACATCCACAGACGAGGAGCTCACTTCCTAATAGGGAAGTTTGTGTCACTGGCACACAAGTCTTAGTTTTTAATGGTTCCTTACTTTTAATCTAAATACTCCTCCTTGAGTCCCTTCAAGGTTGATCTCGTGTGTGTGTGTGTGTGTGTGTGTGTGTGTGTGTGTGTGTGTGTGTGTGTGAGAGAGAGACAGAGAGACAGAGAGAGACAGAGACAGAGACAGAGAGAGAGAAAGAGAGAGAGACAGGAAGAAGAAGAAGAAGAAGAAGAAGAAGAAGAAGAAGAAGAAGAAGAAGAAGAAGAAGAAGAAGAAGAAGAAGAAGAAGAAGAAGAAGAAGAAGAAGAAGAAGAAGAAGAAGAAGAAGAAGAAGAAGAAGAAGAAGAAGAAGAAGAAGAAGAAGAAGAAGAAGACAATAATCATGAAGCAGCAGCGCAGCAGCTGCAACAGCAGCAACTGTTTATTCCTTGAAGCCTCAGAAAGACACTGCTGGGTGGGGTGCAAGAAGTGACTAAGGATTCTGGCAATTCCCTCCCCAGGGTACCAGAGGTGTTGTATTTGCTGCTGGCCCCACGGAGCATAGGTTCTCATGGAGGGGAAAGGCCCAGCAGGCATGGTACTGGCCCTCCCTTTGGGAATTTGCCAGTAAGACAACTGCAGGTTTTTCGCGGAGGATTAACCCGGTTTAAAACCAGGTTCTTGAGTTCCAGTGTCCCTGTCCACCCTGAGGTATTGTGACTTGTCCCCATCTGCAGGGCTCTCAGGGCACAGAGGGAGTCTCTGAAGGGCCCTGTGGTTCCCTGTCACTCCAACCTCTTCTCCCTCTTGTGACTCTGCAGGTCCCATCATCTGTGGGCTGCTGAGCTCCCCAGATGTCCTGCTTTGCAATGTCAAAGACTGGATGGACTCCTCTGAAGCCCAAGCTAATGCTACATGTCCTGGTGTGACATATGATCAAGGGAGCCACCAGGTGACCTTGCGTCTGGGAGGCCAGGAGTTCATCAAGAGTAAGTCTCTGCCTCTTGTCTATATTCCTTCAAAATTATTCCATCCACCAGAAAGGCCCTCTGCTACTTTTTTATGAGCCCTTCCCATTCCCTGAGGAATTTATACTTTGGAAAAGAAAACCGTACCAATAACACTGCATAGAAAACAGCCCCAGCATCCCAGCAACATTCCACAGAAAGCATAGATTTAGCTCACAATGCCTCAGGTTGACCAGAGGCAGGACAGTCCAGCTGGACAGGTCTGTTGCTCTCAGCTGGGTTCACCTTGAACCCAGGGCTTGACCGGTAGTTGGCTGATCTTACCTTTACTTGGCTGGGGTGGTCTGGCCCTGCTCCTTGAGTCTCTCAGCCTCCTCTGGATGAACATGTTCTTCTCCTGTAGGTGGCAGAAGCTGGATAGAACCAGGAGAACAAGGAAGGCTTCTTAAGGTGAAGGCTTGGCCCTGACACCTGTCCTTTTTGCCTCATTCTCCTGCATAAAGCAAATCACATGGCAAACTGGAAGCCAGAGGGTGGGAAATGTACTCTGTTTCATTAGTGAGAGGAACTGCATAGTCACGAGCAAAATATGTGAACACAAGGATGGGTGAAGAACTGGAACCAAAAATGCCGTCTGTCCCCAAACTGGTGTCTCCCAGGGCCTATTTCCCCCCTATGAGTTAAAACATTCCAAGTGGTACGAATTGCATTGCACAAACTTATTACATGGGCTCAATAGAAATGACCATTGATCTTTCTCCTTCCCTTTCTTTCAGAGGCTTTTGCAACTTTTCTTTTTTATGAATTTTACAAAGGTTAGGGCTAGAAGGCACCTCTGGATCATCTGTCCCACCCCCTCAATTTACAGAGCAGTGCAGTTAGTGCCACAGGCCCCAAGTCCAGCCAGATCTTTCTATCTTCTCAGCCCTGGGCTCTCTATCCCAGCAGACCCCATCAGGAAAAAGTGGGTTCCCGCTCTGTCCTGACCTGGAGACTGGCCAGACCAGTACTACTCCCGTGGTCAGCATCAGTGGGAGCAGCATAGAAATGCAGATTCACAGCTTCCCCCCACCACTTGCCCCGGGGTGGGCCCCAGAAAGCTGTGTTCTAACGAGTGGTCCAGACAAGGTGGAGTCTGAGCAGCACTGACGGCCTGGTGAGAACAGGGGCCCCGCTGTACACCTCTCCTTGGTTCCACTGGGAGGCTGCAGGCCCTGCTCCTGTTGCCAACTCTCTGCTGACTCTCTTTATCTGCCAGCACCTGACCTTGAAACACCGTCACACATTCATGCCACCCTCTGAGCTGCACGGGGTGGAAATCTGCACAGTCTATGACAGGCTGAGCCCCTGAGATGAGAGTATCAAAGGAGTCATCATCAAGGGAGCCCCTGGGGACTTCTTGTTGCTATAGGACATGGTCCCCCAAGGGCTGTCAGAAGCTGTCTGTTGCTTCCCAGGAAGACTTCTGAGATCCACATCTCTGTGACTGAAGTAATGGCAGAGGGTGCAATGCCACCTCCTCCATGAGCCCTCCATGACTACCCACAGATCTTTCTGCTTCCTGCACTGTGGAGCTGGGCACATGCTCTGCACATTCCTCTATCCTGCAGAGCCATCAGTGTGGCATTGTTCACTTGCCTGTGTGTCATGAGTTGGCCCATGGTGGTGTCCTATCCTGGGTTTGGACAGCAATTGTGTACCTTGAGTAAGTCAGGGAATCTCTTCAGGCCTAACTACTTGTCTATTAAATGAGAGTAATGACGGTAGCCATCCACAGGGCTATGGAGATGAAAGGAGACGAGAACATTATGCAGCACACAGCATGAGTCAGGCTCTGCTGTGAGGCCAGGACTTATCCTTCCTCATGAATCCTCAATACAGTGCTTCCAGGGTGGCACAATTTTATTCCCATTTTAGAGCTGAAGAAACTGAGACACATGGAAATTAGATAACTTCCCAAGGTCTCGGAAGGGCTGGGATCTGAAACCAGCATTCTGGCTCCAAAGCTGATGTTCTTAACCACTTCTCTGCATTGGCACTCACGGGTGATAGAAGGTGAAGAACTCAGCAGGGTGCCTGACGCATGGCATTAATATTAGATATATCATTATATCATTCTTTTTAAAATTTGTCTTTATGTTTTATTGTATTTTAAAAACTGGACTGAGCCTTATTAATTTCTGAATTCATACCATCAAGCATACAAATTATACAAATCTGTGGAGTGCATAGATACCAAAGCCTGGCAAAAATATTGCAGAATTTGGTGGAATTCCATGTGGCTTAAATAGCTTCTTTGGGGGTAAATAAAATCAAATAGCTATTTATATGATGGGTAGTGAGCATATGGTATTCATTACTCTGAGAGGTAGCCCAGGCTGAAAACAGGCATTTCAAGAAAGACGTATGATGTCTTCATGGGCAGTAAATCCAGATGAATTGCTTAACCCAGAGCACGTGCTTGGTATTTGCCCAAGAAATGAAGGCTGTGCCCTTATCTGGCTACCTAAGAAGGAGCGATTACTGAATGAGTTTTGAAGGTTTGGGGTTTTTTCAGTGCCCTGTATCTGTGTGTATTCTGGGGTGAGGGTAAGGCTTTAATAAGGGTGCCCTATGATGGAGATTTCAGGCAGCCTGAGGCATATATATTCTTGATATTCCAAAGTGGAGGTTGTCTTATATGAGGGTACTTCAAAAAGTTTATGGAAAGATTTGTATAATCTTTTAATTCTATTTTTTCACAAGCTTTTTGAAGAATCATTGTCCATAGACTATCAGGGGGCTGCTTCCAATTAAGAACAATAGTGCAAAAACCCTTCCTTTCCAAAATAAGAAGTCAGTCTTTAAGTACAATTAACCCCTCGGAAAAGAAACACAGTGAGTAAAATTCTTACTACCGTGTGAATAGCTGATAGATACCCTTTTCTAACAAGAGATATCGGTGGAGGGCAAGAGGAGTGAGGATTCCAGGGATATGAACACTGCAGGGAGGGCATAGAATAAATCGAAAGAACGTGGGGAGGGGCCAGGGGCAATAAAGACAAACTCTATCCTTCCCAAAGTTGGTTGGCGGGATATGAACACTGCAGGGAGGGCATAGAATAAATCGAAAGAACGTGGGGAGGGGCCAGGGACAATAAAAACAAACTCTATCCTTCCCAAAGTTGGTTGGGGGCCAGCCTCTTACCTCCCATTTAACAACTGGATAGATGGTAGTCAAAATACAGACTCTGGAATCAGACTTCAGGATTTAAATCCCAGTGTGAATGCTTTCTCATCGTATAGCCTCCTTGTAAGGCCTTGGTCGTTCCAATTATAAATGCAGATAATGACTCTTAGGGAGGTTGGGAGGATTAATATACAGACTCTGGAATCAGACTTCAGGATTTAAATCCCAGTGTGAATGCTTTCTCATCGTATGGCCTCCTTGTAAGGCCTTGGTCGTTCTAATTATAAATGCAGATAATGACTCTTAGGGAGGTTGGGAGGATTAATGGAGGATGTGTGTGGAGCATGCAAAATAGTGCTGGAGTCAGGCAGGCACTTGATAGGTACTAGAGATTAAAAGCAATGGCCGAGATGTAAGACACCCCAAATTGAGTCCTGCCTTTCCCCCCCAAGTCTGTGAATTTATTCAAGACAGTTAACCACCCTTGAGCCTCAGGATCTTCATCTGTAAAATGGGGGCACTTTTTAATATATTACCAAATGAAGTGCTGGCATGCTGCACAGGCTATAGTATAAGATATTGTTTCCTGAGTCCCTGCTCCCCCAACAGCAAACCCAGCAGAGGCACTCAGGACTTCTGGATATGGACATTGAGTTTTCATAAGCCAGCTTGCTGGTACTGTCAGGATCTGGTTCAGCAGGTGACCTGATTAATGGAGAATTAATGCCTTTCCCCCCCAAGTCTGTGAATTTATTCAAGACAGTTAACCACCCTTGAGCCTCAGGATCTTCATCTGTAAAATGGGTACACTTTTTAATATATTACCAAATGAAGTGCTGGCATGCTGCACAGGCTATAGTATAAGACATTGTTTCCTGAGTCCCTGCTCCCCCAACAGCAAACCCAGCAGAGGCACTCAGGACTTCTGGATATGGACATTGAGTTTTCATTAGCCAGCTTGCTGGTACTGTCAGGATCTGGTTCAGCAGGTGACCTGATTAATGGAGAATTAGCATTTACTTATAACACATAAGTTAATTGATCACCAGTTGTAGGAAATTACAACCCGGCAGAACACATACACTAAATTCAAATAGTAAACATGTCAATATCTGTATTGCATTATACAAGGTACTTTCATGTCTATCAACTCAACTGATCCTTTCGCCAATCTGGTGAGGCAGTTGGTTATGTCTCAGTTTGACCCATGAGAGTGAAGTTCAGACTTGTAACGAGACAAGAAAAACTCTTTGCGGTAAGTGCCATGTCTGAGGTCCAAACCTCAGCTTCAGAGACTGGAGCTGTCTGTGGAAGCTAGCCACTGCACCCCTCGGTCCCACTTCTTGCTACCTTGGTCCTGCATGTAATTTACTGGGAGCAGAAAGCACTTTAGAGTTATCCTTGTCATTATATCAGCAAGTTAAGGGGTCTCTGACAATTGAGAGTTTCACTCCTCAGACATCTCTTTGGGGCCTGCTCTACTCCAGACATTGGTATTAATGTCAGTTAACAGAACGTTCTACTTCAAGGATTTTAAAGGGTTGATGGGAGAAGGGAACAAAAGATATGGGAAAGCCATAGTGTCCCCTGTTGAGGTGCAGATGTGAGCTGGGAGGTTTGGGGACAGCCCTCACGGAGTGGCCACAGCCCTGCGTTCACTCCTCCATTGCCCCCCTCCAAAGGACCTGCTAGGCAGGTGTGAAGTGCTCAGCCAGGTACTGGAATGCAAAGATGCGCGGCGCGGAATGGTTTCTACTCTCAAGGAGCCCACAGGCTAGTTGAGGTGACAGATGTGGGAATTATTTGAGTACAGCAAGCCTCCTGTTTGCCCATCTTAGTGGACTGAAGAGATTTGCAGGAACACTGGATGCTCCTGTAGCACAACTCTCTCCATTTCTTAAAAGCCAGCCAAGTCCCATCCAGGTCACTACCCCTCCAAAATTTATAACTGACTTCTAATACCAGCCAACAAAAAGCAAACAAACACACCCAGAGGCAAACAACCCCACAAAATACCTGGAGGTTATTTTACACTATTAGAAGACACAGCACTTTTTGCTGTGAGCTTTCTCTTTCTTGCCATCAGTGATGAGTGACAGCTGAGAATACTAGATTTCTGTTTAGCCTTTGTGCCTGGGCTGACATGTGTTCTCAAGAGAGGAATCTACGCAGGGTCTGCATCTCCCAAATTTCCAATGAGCATTTCAGCATGTTTTCAACTACAGTCATGCATTGCTTAACAATGGGAACGATTCTGAGAAGTGCGTCCTGAGGCAATTTCGTCACTGTGTGAGCATCACTGAGTGCACTTACACAAACCTAGATGCTACAGCCCACTACATGCCCGGGCTGTATGGTGTAGCCTGTTGCTCCTAGGCTACAAACCTGCACAGCATGTTACTGTACTGAACAGTGCAGGCAACGGTAACACAACACAATGGTGAGTATTTGTGATTCTAAACATAACAACATAGAAAAGGTACAGCAAAAATACTATGTGGTGCATGACTATATTTGGTGTTGGCTGGCTCGACCTTCCTATTTCTGAGAAAGAAGGCTTAGAAAGCTCTTGGGGCTACATGTGGCTGTTTCTGATAATGTTTTGAGTGCAAATGAGTGAAAGGCAGATTAAATGTACCCTAGTGCCCACAGAGACTTAAAATTTGATGGGGAAAAAAAGGCCTTGGCAGAAATGCTCCTAGGTTCATCTGAATTCAAAAGGCTTAATGTTGAGCAATTGTGAGGCTTAGCCTAATGCCTGACGTTCCCTTTATAGGAGGCTGTTTTCTATCAATGATTGTCATTATCTTGGGGTGCCAGGAACTAGGTGAAATAACTTACAATGATACTGGTATAATGATCTATGATCTACGATACTCACTGTAACCAGATGCTTGTAGATTAAATGTCTGATGAGTACCTAAAAATAGGATGGACATTTAAAAATGACCGTATTAGTTATTTACAATAGCTGTCCTTGATTGTGTGGTGCCATGTACTTAGCACTATGCTTTGTGTCTTAGCTTGGATTCTCCCAGAATCAACCTTGAGACACAAATTCAGGAGTGTAGTTTATGTAGGAAGGAAAAGGAATATAAGTAGAGATGTGGGGGTTGTGGTACAGAGAAGATAAGACAGTCAATAAAGTGTGGACTCTGAGAGCAGTTGTGCTTAATCCCATGGATCAGTGCACAACACAGAGTTATCAGAATTATCCCACCCAGTGGGCTGAAAAGCTGGAGTGTTCATGCGCAAGTTCTTCAGAGCACTTGACTGAGGATTGCTTTGCTGGAAGCATTGCTGACTCCTTGTGCATCCAGCCTACCACTGTGGCAAGTGCAGCTTGGGCTTTCTGCAGCTCCAGAAAAAATCTGGGACATAGAAGCAGAAATCGGCAGTTCATTTTGCATATATTAATTATCTCAATTAACCCTCTAAGACCTGGAGATAAGTGGTCTTTTCTCTATTTACTAAGGGGGAGAGTGAAGCATAGAGAGATTTAAGTAACTTGTTCAAGGTTACTCAGCTCATAAGTTGCATAACTCAGATTTCATTTAGTTCATGATTATTTATTCAGCCCTGGCTTCATGCTGGGAGGTGAAGACCTAGAGATCCTAATATCTGGCCCCCGTTAAGGAAGCTCACTGTCTAGGAGAGGAGACAGGCAAACAGGTAACTCACTTCTTGGGTGAGTGCCATTGTATTGACACAGCTGACCAGGCCTCATTCCCCTCAAGCTGGGCACCATTTTATGGTCAGAACCTTAGGGGGCTCAGGTCACCGGAGGTAGGCCCCACCTGACCAGACTTTCCACGGCTACAATAGCTGTTTTGAACCTACTTAAACCATGATGGAGGTTTATAGTTGTTAGATTATTGTTAGGGATGGTAATCTTTGATGAGTGGAGAGCTCTTTCCCCCCAACTCACTAATGGATTGTAATGAAAGCAAGTCTCTAGATTCTGCCACATGTCCAAACAGTCATTGGCAAATAGGCACAGAGACTGCTTCACAACCTGTCACCTGTTCATTGAGCCCAATAGAACAGCTCTCTATCCTTTTAGGTGTTCCTGTGGCACCTTGTTTGATAGGTTTTTAAAATATAGACCCAGCGATATTCTCACAGCAGAACTCAACTCAGCTTTTCATCAAAATCAGATGGACAAGAGTCCTCCAGATCAGTGACTGGTCACAGACTGATTTTGGAATCAAGCCAAGGACATCAGGGCTATTGGGCTCAGGAAGCTGCCTCACTCTCTTTTTGCAGGGGCAGGAGTGACACTGTAACACTTTTAGCCAATCCATGTTTTGAACGCTCCTAATCTGACCAATAAATACATAATTCCAGCATTCACTGGACTAAATAACAAAGCCCATGGTGTTAAGTGGGGAAAAAGAGAGTGGGTATATCTGTGGCTCCTCTCTGAAGGATGGAGCTCCTGGAGAGCAGCTTTTCAATACTACTTGTATAATTCCAGCATTCACTGGACTAAATAACAAAGCCCATGGTGTTAAGTGGGGAAAAAGAGACTGGGTATATCTGTGGCTCCTCTCTGAAGGATGGAGCTCCTGGAGAGCAGCTTTTCAATACTACTTGACCATTCCTAGAGTATGTTTTCCAGTTTAGGACCCTGCCCACTCCAAGGGCGTAGATTAAAACTAACCACCATGGATGTAGCACATGATCTCAGCAGAAATGTTCTTAAGTGAATTAAAACCACACGACACCCATCAACGCTGAAGAGCCAGGTTCCATGCCAGACCCCTGAGTTCTAAGTGTGTACGTGTTCCTGCAGCCTTGGTTACAGGGATTGTATCAGTCAGGGTCTGGAGGAAGGTCTGTGTAGCAGCAACATCCTAACACAGTTATTGGGGAAGGAATGGGAGGGACGTCTGGGCAGTCAAAAACATTACTATTTAGCAGGGAAGAGGAAATGATGTTTGCTTCAGTTTTATGTACCTTCTCACAGTCAACAAGATTGTGCTAGGGAAGTTCTGGAGAATTAAAGAAGGGTCAGAGTGGCCATTGGCTTTAGTCTTTGATTTGAGAGCAATAAGGCACCCCAGAGAGAAGATGCTGGTTCTCCAACTTCTACAGGCTAAATAAGAATCATAATATGTAACTTAATGGGATTCGAAAACTTTATTAACATCTGTATCACAAAAAATGTATATCTACATATGAGCATATCATATCTATGTATCCATGTATCTATGTACCTACCTATCTGGAGAGAATCAGTATATCAAAGAGATTTGGGTATAGAAAGATTTGAAAAATTAATTCTCTGGTTTTTCTTGTAATGAGGACCAAAGCCCAGTTCCAAAGTCAGGCTGTGGCCTGACCTTTCTAAGAAGCAGGTGATGATATTGTGAGGAGATGGTGAAGATGGAGCACGAGCTGAGCAGGTGGCCACCTGCTCCGTGATGGTGTCATGTGGTGTCACATGCAGTGTAGTCCTCCTTAATGTGGAGAACAAGTCTCAGCATTTTAAAGATCCATCTAGGCCTCCCCGATATCACAGGTTTTTACTTCCTCAGTTTTTATAAGTGACTTTCACCCTCCAAAGAATGCTCTGAGAGAAGTATCAGTGGGTCCTTTAAGGAAACATGTCATCCCAACATCGGGCGGTCTGAGAAGTTCTAGCATCGTTGTTTACTCCCATTTCTGAAGTAAAACCAAACGGAAGCGCACTCAGTGTCCTGGCTCACCCCACAGTGTGCAGCACGGTCGTCCCCGGGGAGGGGCTCATCACTTCCGTGCTCAGTTTTCCATATAGTTCAATGGACACCTCCGTGAACACAGGAGCCTTCGACCTTTTCACCACTGCAGATGAACAGAATTGTAAAATATCTTATCCGCTCCTTAGTGTGGTGGTTAAGAGCAGACCATGTGGAGCCAGATGGGATTTGAATTCTGGCATTAACCTCTCTTGACTTTGATTTCTTCATCTGGACACTGGGGACCTTGCCTTTTAGCATGACTATGAGCTTTAAATTAGGTAATGTACACAAGGTGCCCATTATAGTGCCAACTAAATGGTAATAACTGTATAAATAACTGACTCTTAAAATTATTAAAAATTATTAACTAATAATTAAAAACAGAATTCGACCCTGTCTCAATGTCTGAAGTTGCCGGCCCACGGTCTCCTGCAGCGTGTGGGGCCATCTGCTTGCAGATGCTGTTTTCTGAGTTCTTTTCTCAGCCTTCCATATCACAGGGGAATCAGCAGGAATGGAGGCTGAACAGGAGCAAAAGAGGCAACCCTGACCAGGAAGTGGTGTGGCAAATTCAATGTCATCCAGGGTGGCATCTGGGAGACTGGAGTTTGTCAGAGAAGAAATTTTAATATTAATAATAAATTAAATAATGGCAGCTGCCAATAATTGGGTGTGTATCAAATGTTGAGAACTCCAGAGGTCAGCTTCTATACATTATTCCCAGCCTCATGGGCACTTTGCATTCTTTAAGCCAATCCCCAGTTCCTTGTCATTCTCCTGTGTCACAGGTTCACAGCCCCCCACCATAATAGTCCCTTGGTGTCCTGAGTATGCCACCTGAGGTCTGACCAGCTCTGGTTTTGTTCCAGGGAGCTGGAGTAGAGCTCCAAGAGGCTTTTGAAGCACACCTGTGTAGGAAACAGAGTTCTCGGGCCCAGGAAGGGCCAGCTGGGGGAAAGATGGGTCAGTTGTGATAACGGTGGGTACCCAGTGAGAGCAGGCATGCTCAAGCTCATAGAAATAAACATCTTCCTTTGCAGATCTGACACTGCTGGAAGGAACTCAAGACACCATTACCAGTTTCCAGCAGGTTTATCTCTGGAAAGGTAAGCTCCATGGTGGGAGGGGGTGGCGTTAGCAGGACACTGATTATGTGCTACTTGCAATTGTCTGGACCCACCTCCCATTCACAGTGCATGGAGAAAATGAAGAGATTTGCTTTCTAGGTGAGTACTCTCTGTGGAACAGAGGGGCCTCAACACCTCATCAGATAAGATACCAGAGTCTAAAAGAAAAGTGGAAAGTGTGGAAACCCAAGAAAGAAAGGAGGAAGGAAGCTCTGTGTTCCTGTGTGATAGATCTCACAGACCACAAGCTCTCTTTGTTACCAGGATAGGAGTTCTGAGGCTAACGCAGACAACAGGAGGCATTTGTCCCGGGGACTTGGCCCCAAGTGCCTCTCTACCCAGGCTCAGGATGAGGGGACAGGACCACAGGAGGGTGGTGTATAGATTCCTGCTTGGAGATAATGCCACCATGGGTGCATGGGACAGGTTAGGGCAAAATAGGAAGGCTCAGGCAAGGTGTACACCTGGCACTGCCTTTCTGCTTGTTTGTCGTCCTTGGAGTTTACTGAACATGCCTACAGGGACTAGGAAAGGCATTTGGGAGAGACAGGTGAGTGAGGCACAGCCCTGGCCTTTAAGGGGTCCCAGCCTGGGGATAGCAGACAAGGCAGTGGCCACTTAGGCTTCATGGTCACAAGCCCTAGGTGAGCGGCATTAGGAAAGATCCCTGACCCCAGATCACTCCCTCCTCTCCCCAGCATCCCTCCTCACTGAGATCTCACTGAGTGTCCTGAACAAGGACTGGGGATCTGTGTTTCCGCGCTCATGAAGTGAGAGTGAAGGCAAAGAACAAACCTGGAGTGACGGGGTGTGAATTATGTTTCTGTCTCTTACCTGCCACCTGTGTGTCCTTGAGGACGTCAGTCAGTCCCTCTAAGCCCACAGTCCCATGGGAAATATGGCAATAAAAGTACTACTGTCCTCGTGGAGTTGCGTGAGCTCTAGT